TCTTCCTTATTCACTGTGCAGCTTTCGCATGCACATGAGGTTACTGAAAATACCATGGCTTGGGTCAGGCGCACCTTAGTCCTTCAGCTGACATCTTTGCTCTTGAACACTTTAAAGCCTCTGATACTGCAAAAGGCCAAAGGCAGTTCTCTCTGGACCTTGGGCAGGCACCAGCCAATGCCCGGTTTGAGTCTGTGAGGTCCAGGTGGGACCCTTGACCCCAGTCAGGACTATGAGGCTGTCCTGGGTGACTTTGGGCCTCTCACTGTGGGGCAATTTGCAGCAGCCACAGGTATCTCATACAGACTCAGAGCAGAGCTCCCATTTCTTCACATCTGTGGCTGCAGAGAAGGTTCTGGCACACAAGTGATGCCAACACAGTACAGACGTGATGTAGACACGAGAAGTCCATGGGAAAAGACACAGGAAGACAGGTAAAGCACAGGGATTGTGTATGGTGTCAGCTGCAGTTTAATTTGGGGTTCAGGGTGGGCTTCTTCACTCAGGAGGTACACAGGGGGAGGCGCTCCTGGCAGACGGCACAGTTATGCAAAGGCCCTGGGGCAGGACAGTGAGGAGGCCTGTGTAAGTGTGGCAGAGTGAGCAAGGCAGGCATTGGAGGCTCCAAGGGTAGGGAGGGGACAGTCCTGGGCATAAAGGACTCGAACTTTCACTCAAGGAGGTGGAAGCCCTACAGAGGGGCAGGCAGAGCAGGTGCCCAGGTGCTTGTGGGCACCCTACGGTGGGCATAGGGTGAGAACCAGGTGGGGTCTGGGAACTGTCTGCCAGGATTGGAGCAGCAGGGAATGGGACAGCAGGCAGGAGGCAAGAGTGTGGGGGGAGGAGCAGGAGTGGCACGAGGCGCTCCAGACACACCCTGCAAACAGCACCTCAATTCTCAGGTGTGGGCCCCCAACTCCCTCTTGTGACGTGTAGTTGCATCACACAGCCCTGCAGCTCCACCTCAGGCTGTGACCCCAGGCCCTAGGCTGAGACTCAGCTCTGCACTGGCCAGGGGCCTCCAGTGACGGTGGGTGCGCTGTGGGTAGAGACAGAGGAGACCGGATGTGGCTGGACTGGTACAGACTCCTCCCTCTCCCTGCTTCGACAGGTCGCCAGCACCCCACGGGCATAAGGGGGCAAGGATACTGTCTGTCCAGAACACCCACCTAAGGGACCAAAGCAGGACTTACCTGACATGTCTGTAGTGGCCGACTGGGCGCTGGGCTGAAGCCACGGCCGCCTGGAAAAGAGGGCAATGACAGTCGGCCCTGAGGCCACAGAAAGGACCAGGGGGTCAGTGTCCTCAGGAATGCAGAGCCCCCAGCTTTGCCTTAGTCTCCCCAGTGTTCTGGGCCCTCATGAAGACGGTGTGCCCTGAAAGCACCCGACCTCCACCCCGATCCCAGCGTGGCGCCCAGCACCCTGAGGAGACTCCTGAAGCTGGGTCAGCCGTGTTCTCCCCATCAGGCCCCACTGAGATGCTGCACCTGAGTGGAGCTGTCCGTGCCGCAGGGGGGGCGGCCAGAAGGACCTGGACTCCGCTGCCTGATCACATGCACGTGACCAGGGTCTCCCTGGCTCACTCACTGTCCATTGCTGGCCCCCCGCCTGGACTGAGGGACACTCACACCCCCAAATTAGACTGAGCGAGCCGACTACAAGGGTCGTGAAAGCTTCAGCACAGCCCTAGTCCCCCTCTGACCACCGACTGCTCACAGAGCCCCCAGGGGGAGGCTGGAATCTTTCCGGAGCCCAGGTGGCTCACATGGTCGGTTTTGACATTTGGTGCTAGCTGGTCTGAAAGGCCTGCTCTGCCCCTCAGACGGATGTGGGCCTGTCCTCACTGGTCTGAAGGAGCCCATGGTGTCCCTGTCCCCTCCAAAGCTGGGTCAGGAGAACCTTTAGCTGATGCCAGACACCCAGCCAGGTCACCTCCCAGCTCTTGTGGAATCTTCCATGCGCACACAGTGGGAGGGGGTACCATGGGGGTTCTGCCACTGGAAACCACCGCTAGCCCAGGGCAGCCCTTGCAGGGTGGCGCGCACCTACCCGTCCTCTGGACACAATCCACAGACACATACAACGGCCGGGTTCCGTGGTTTTATTTCTACACAGAGGGGACGTGATCGCAGGGATTACAATGACTCCAGGGATCCGCAGCTGAGCCCCCTGTAGGGCAGAGACGCAGTACAGTGCTGGTGGCCCCACACGCTACTCACTGTGTGGTTAGAGAGGACAGCGCGGCTGGGACAGAGGTGCCACACACAAGACAGACAAGAGTCCGGAGATCGTGGCCACGCTGAGTTCCTGGACATGGGTGTGCTGGAGACTGACACACGAGACATATCCATAGCCCAGAGGCGCCATCCACAGAAGTGGGACTAGAAGGATCTTCAACAGGGTGGGGGCCATGGCTGGTCCTTGGATCCCAGGCCTCGGATGCAGAGGAAGCCTGGACACAATGTGTCCAGGGTCACGGCTGCAGCTGGCCCTAGGCTCCCTGGCCATTGGGCGTGGAAGAGGATCTGGGCAGACGGACGTCCGATGGTCCTCTGGTGGAGCCAGGCACGGGAAGGGGTCAGGCCTGGCAGCCACGCTACATGTCGGGGTCGAGCTGGCCGCACTGGTCCTCCAGCACACCGCGGAACACCTGGAAGCGGTGGTTGAGGTCAGGTCGGGCGTGCAGGCGGAAGCGAGAGCCCAGGGCACCATCGGGTGAGGGCGCCCCGTAGAAGACCCTGCGGATACGGGCATGCACGAGCGCCATGGCGCACATGACACAGGGCTCGCGGGTGATGTACAGGTCGTAGCCGGTGCACACGTACGGGAGCCCATCCTTGCTGTCCCCATCCTCATCCCGGTGCTCCAGCTTCCGCACGGTGCCCGGCCTCACCGGGAGCTGGGGGGCAGCAGTCACTTCGAAGGAGCAGGCAGGATGGTGCCCCAGGTCATAGGCACCGCGGCCCTGGCCCTGGGCCACAAGGTCCACACACACCATGGTGGCGTGTAGCAAGGGGCTGGAGGAACTGCTGCAGTCGTGGCCCGTGGCCAGAATACGGCCGGAGCCCGGCTCCACCACCACGGCGCCCACGGCCCGCAGGCCCCGCGCCGCAGCATGCTGTGCCGCCCACACAGCCCGCTCCATGTGGCCCTGCATGCGGGCCCGCTCCTGCGGCGAGAAGAGCCGGCCAGCCAGCGCGCATGTCACCTGCTTGTCCTCGTGGAAGGTTGAGGGCCAGTGCGCCTGCGCCGCCTCAAACTGGGCACGCGTCAGCGGAGGCCAGGCCGGCACAGGTACCAGGAAGGGCGGCCCCAGTCCGTGAGCATCCACGGCAGGCGGCAGAAGCTCGGCGAGCGTGCGCGCCCCCGGGGACGGCCCTGCCAGGCACAGCAGCAGCTCGAGTGCGTGCGGGACCTGCGTGTCCAAGTTCGGCCTCACCCGCTTGAGGTGGGGCTGGGCAGGCAGCGGAAGGGCGGCTGACACCTCCCGGACCAGGCGGGAGGTCTGGCGCGGATCGAGCACTGGTGCGGCATAGGCGGGCACCAGCTCCACCGCCCTGCTTTGCTGCTCCGACAGAACCGGCAGCACTTGCCACGGCAGCGGCGATGCTGGTGGCTCCAGGCTGCTGGCCTCCTGGTCCTCGCAGAGCTCCATCCTTGGCAGGCCGGACTCTGACTGTGGAGACAGACACGGGAGCAGAGCGTCATCCGTCGGTGCAGGCGAGTCAAGGAGTCTGTCCAGTCCTGGCGGCGCTGGGTCTAAAGGTCGTGAACGAGCTCCCACGGGCGCCACTGGCGGCGATGCTGCACACTGCTGCCCATGCCCTCTCCATTCGTGCAGACTTTCAAGGGCCGCCGTGCTATCACTAGCTAAGATACGATTCACATACCGTACAACGCACCAGTTTAAAATGTACAACTCAGGAGTTTCAAGACATTCAGAATTGTGCAACCACCACCGTTATCGGGTTCCAGAATGTTCCATCCCCCATAAGGAGCCCCGCATCAGCCGGCTGTTGCTCCCCACTCTGCCCTCCCCACACCCTTGGCAACCACGAATCCACTTTCGGTCTCCATGGAATTTACTGTTGTGGGCATTTCTCAGAAGTGGGAGCACACACTGCTGCCCTCCTCTTCCTGGGCCCAAGGTGTCCATCCACATCGTGGCCTGTTCAGGAACTTCATTCCTCTTCGGAGCTGAGTAGTGCTCCCCTGGGAGTCCTGGTGTGGCTCTGTGGAGTAAGCACTAGACTGCTAACCACAAGGTCGGTGGTTCAAACCCACCAGCTGCTCCCTGGAAACCGTATGTAGGGGTGCAGAACGTCTGGCCTGCCAAGGCGACCACACTTCCAGCCATCACGTTGTTGTTGTTAGGTGCCATCGTGTTGGTACGGACTCATAGCGACCCCTATGCACAACAGAACGAAACACTGCGCAGTCCTGGGCCAACCTCACAATTGTTGCCACGTTTGAGCCCACTGATGCTGTCACTTTGCCAATTCATCTCACTAGGGGTCTTTCTCTGACCCTCCACCTTACCACGGATGAGTTAATAAGATGTTTGGACAAATATAGCTGGCTAATTTTTCAGTTGATAATTGTGTATGACCCACAATGATGTTATAAACAAACTTTGGCAGAATAAAGTTCCCCACCCCTGCTCTACAGGGTTGCTGGAAGTGGGAACCAACTCAACAGCACTTCCCAATAAACGGTCCACCATGTGAATGCGTTACTACAGTCTGCTTCCACGACCCACAGCCACTTCAGAATCCACGCAGCACCGAAACCCAAAGTCCCTATTTCTGCCCAAGAAAGAAATGGGAAAGGAGCATTTTAGTGAAATAACCTAGACCTCACCTGACTGAGCCGTTTCGGCAAGCCCAGGGCCCTGAATGACCCAGACACCTCCTCACACAGGCGGCTCCTACTGATCACAGCTAGACTGCTCTGCTGCATGTGAGCATTGCTTACAAAACCACAACTCCGAAGGGGGGAAACACAGTTTAGGAACGTTGTCTCGTGGCACACCGGTGGGGGAAAGCCACATCCCAAGGGTGCCCTGAGATGCTCACTGCTACCTGCCCAGCTGTGTAGCTCGCACTGCGGGTGACAAGGCTGTGGGGGGCGTCAGGTTCTGGATCTTGAGATACCTCCCTGAGCCTGGCTGAGCAGGAGACCCGGTGACAGCAGCCTTCTCGTCCTCTGAGATGAACCCAGACCAGCCACGGCTCTGCTGGGCACTCACCAGGCAGCCAGAGGAAACAAACTCATCACCAAGTGTTGGGGCCACTTGCCTCTATGCCTGTCCTTCAAGGAGGGTGCCTCTCCATCTGGTTCCCATCATTCCCCAGCCTCCTCACCCTTTGTGACATGACCACCGCTCAGCCACAAAACGGGTGGGTTGCAGCCTGACCCAGGGACCCTGGACCTGGGCGTGGGGGAGCCCTTCATGTGGGCAGCCTCTCATATGACCAGGACACACTGACGAGGCAGCACCCCATCTCCTTTAGAGCCCAGCGCTGTCTCCGTCCCTGTCCCACCCTGCCCAGCAGTCCCCAGGGCCACCCCATATTCTCTGTAAGGATGCCTCTTCTCACTCAGGCAGTTCCTGGGCCAAGGCCACTGGCCCCACACCACACCTCTGGGGGACTCGCCTCTAGAGCTGGAGGGTGGGGCAGAAGGACAAGCGACCCCGCTGAGTGCACATGACCCTGTGGAGACTCCGACCCACAGGCTGTCAGCTTGGGGAGCGTGAGGTGGGAAGCCCCACAGACAGCCCCAGTTGGCTGTTGTCTTTGCAAAACACAGTTATTTCTCATTGCTTTAGCGGGTCACGGGTCCCTGGGTGGCACGATCGATTTACACCACCCAGCAGTGCTACAGAAGAAAGGCCTGGAGACGTGCTTCTGTAAAGCTTACAGCTACTAGACAGTACTGTGAAGCAAAGACTGAGGAGAATCAGAGCCTCGAACAAACAGTGCACAGGACTGACGATCATGGCATCCCAGATTCCACTGCCCTGAGACCAGAAGGGCCAGGAGGGGCCTGGCTCTCTGCTGCCCCTCTGAAAGGGAGCACAGTAGGAAGCTCTGGATGCACTGGGAGAACAGAGTGAAACAAAGCTCTGGTATCAAAACACCTGCGTGTACTAGTGTGCTAGAGGCAGCCTGAATAACCGAGAAGGTGGCCCTGGGACTTGAGGCCTAGAATGGGTGGGGTCCCCCCTGTGGCTTCATTTTCAGCCAAACAGACAGAACTATAGAGTGAACACTGACCCAGGGAGTGTGCACAACTATCACTGTGTGAGACCACAGGGGCAGCATCTGCCCTGAAATACAGCTCACTGGGACGTCCCTACTGAGGTCAGAGGGATCATGGGTGAAAGCAGAGAACACCAGAAAGACGACGTTGACTTGTGCTTTGTTGACTATGCAAAGGCATCGACTGTGTGGAGCACAATGAACTATGGGTAACGTTGTGAAGAATGGAGATTCCAGAACACTTCATTGAGCTTTTAGGAACCTGTACATGGATCCAGAGACAGTAGCTCAAGGGGACATGAACAGTTTAAAATTAGGAAAGGTGTGCATCAGGGTTGTAACCTTCCACCACACTTCTTCAATCGGGATGCTGGGCAAATCATCCGAGAAGCTGGGTTCTATGAAGAATGTGGTATTAGTACTGGAGGAAGACTCGTTAATAACCTGTGATATACAGATGAGGCCACTCTTGCTTGCTGAAAGCGAAGAGGACCTGAAATACTTAATGATGAAAATCAAAAACTACAATCCTTTGGTATGGATTGTACCTCACTGTGAAGAAAACAAAATCCTCACAACTGGGCCAATAAATAACATCATGATAAACGGAGAAGAGAATGAAGTTGTCAGAGTCAAAACTGATGGCAGGAGGGAATGCGAGAGGAGGAGGAAGGGGGAACACAGAGAGGAAGGGGAAAGACCGGGGTTCCGCTGCACGGACTATAGGTCATGTCACAAAACAAAATGGGCATCAACTATTGAATGGAAACCCAATTTATCTATAAATGTTCACCAAATCACAATAAAAACTTAACAAAATAAAAAAGATCACAACCAAGAAACCCTGTGGACCCGAGTGCCACGCTGACCTGGGTGTGTACCAGCTCCATGGTCCTAGAACCCTGAGAGCCAGAGAGCCGCGTCCCCCACCCCTTGGAGCGCCTGCAGGAATGTGGCTGAGCTTGGGCTGCTGAGATCCGCTCTGGGTGAAAGTGTTTCTGGAGGGGCCTAGAGCGGGGGTCAGGATCTGGGGAGCCTGACACATAACCCTTGACTATGTGGGAGGCCCATGAGAACAGAGGCTGAGACAGTCGCCCATAGCCACACAAGTTAGACAAGGTAACCCACAGCCCAGGAAGTCGGACAGGAACTCACACACCTACGAAACATGAGTCCCTCTCCCTGCCCCAGAGCATTCAGGACAAGCAGAAGCCGTGTCACCTCCCAGTTGGTATTCTCAGCTGCAATGGACTCAGCCCAGCCGGTTGACATCAGCAGTAGAGAAGAGAGAAACCAGGGCAGAGGACAGCCGCTGAGCCGGGCTGGGGGCAAGTCACAGAAGCAGGATGCAGAGGACTAGCCCTGGACAAGGCTGCTACAAAGGAGAACAGCTAACCCTCAACAGAGGCCCTAGGAGACTGTGCGCAATGTGCCCCAGGTGGGTCAGAGCAGAAGCGGCTCCACAGGGTTCTCAGGGCCTGGTTGTCAGGAGCCATTTCTGCCGGTACACTTCTGAGCGGACTTGAACCGCTGACCTTTCGGTTTTCACATTTACTCCTGGGAGCCTGGCGGCCCTGCTCCAAGGACGATGCAGCTCTTCTAACTACACTTTGTAACTCCCCAAAAGGCTGGGTGGGGCTATGCAAATGAGGTGCCTGTGGCTCCCAAGGGAATTGGACAGTTAGGCCAGCCTGCCAGACTTACAAGGAGCCATTCCTGGGGCGGGGCTCTGGACCCAGGGTTCCTGCGAGGAGGGGTGGGTGCTGTCAGCACTGGCAAAGAAGGCTGGAGGGCAGAGGCAGGGCTGACCCCCACTCACAGGGATCGGCTTGGGCAGTTCCCCCTTCGGACACTTCTCTCACCATGGCATTGTTACTGCCGCCCTGCACAACCAGTCCTCTCAGCGGATGGCAAACACAGAGCCTGTGGAAGCTAAGAGAAGAGGCAAGTGTGGCTGGGGCATTTCACAGACCTGCAGACACCTGGCATTACCTCAGAGCAGTCCAAGACTCGGGCCATGCAGGCCCACAGGAGGGTCCACGTGGCTTAGCAGGGAGATACCCCTCCCAATCAAACCACACCCAGAGTCCCCTGGCTACACAAGTGCCCACTATCTCCAAGATAAACGACATCCGCTGCCTTGTCATCACCCAGAGACGGAACCTGTGTCTGATTAAAAACAAGGCAGGCTGCCCTGGGGACACGGCTCCTAGAGGCCGGCTGCCAGGGGCCTCAGAATGAACCCCTCAACTATCCACCCACTGTTGTTAGGTACCGTTGAGTGGGTTCCGACTCATAGCGACCGAATGCACAAGAGAACAAAACACTGCCCAGTCCCTGAGCCATCCTCACAATTGTTGTTAAGCTTGAGCCCAGCTGGTACTATTATGTGACTCCATCTTGTTGGGGGGAGGGTCTTCCTCTTTTTCGCTGACCCTCCACTTACCAAACATGATGTCCTTCTCCTGGGACCTGACCCTCCTGATAACATGCCCGAATATAAGAGACGAAGTTTGGCCATTCTGGCCTCCAAGGCACCCTCTGGCTGCACTTCTTCCAACACAGATCTGTTGGTTCTTCTGACAATCCATGGTACCTTTGATATTCTCCTCCAACACCATAACTCAAAGGCATCAATTCTTCTACGGTCTTCCTTATTCACCGTCCAGCTTTCACATGCATGTGAGGTTATTGAAAATACCATGGCTTGGGTCAGGTGCACCTTAGTCTTCAAGCTGACATCTTTGCTCTTCAATACTTTAAAAAGGTCTTGTGCAGCAGATTTGCCCAATGTAATGCATCTTTGGTTTCTTGACTGCTGCTTCCCTGAGTGCTGATGGTGTATCCAGGCAAAACAAAGTCTTTGACAACTTCTATCTTTTCTCAATTTATCGTGATATTATTTACTAGTCCACCCGAGAGAACTGAAAACCCACATCCACACAGAAACCTGCACACACGTTATTAACAGGAGCCAAAAGGTTACAATGACCCACATACGCATGGGCAGACAGATACTATAGAGACTGATTCGGCTAGAGAGAGAGAGAGAGATGACACATGGATGCACACTGTCACTCAGATGAGCCAGACAAAAAGGACACATACGAGGGCGCTTCAAAAAGTGTAAACATTCTATTACCTATTCATTCTATTTTTCCACCTTCCTTATGAAGCCCCCTGGTAACCTGTGATTCCATGTATGTGAAACCTACAGACACAGGGAGGCCTAGTGGTGGCCTGGGCTGAGGGTAACTGTTAATGGGTATGCGTTGGCAGAATGTTCTGGAATTAGTGACAGCTGCATAGCTGGTGAATACACTAACAACCACAGTTGTGCACTTTAAGATCCATGTGTGGTGCAATTGATCTGTGCTCATCAAAAGCTGTCTGGTGTCTACCACCAAAGGTGGGCAGATCGAATCCACGCAGGGGTGCCTCGGGAAAAAGCCTTGGCAGCTTCCTCTTGTAAAGGTTCCCACTGCCCCAGAGCCACTTCTGACTCACAGCGGCCCTATGTGGGGGTTCAGAGACTGTAAGGCTTTATGGAAGCAGACAGCCACTTCTCCCGCAGAGCGGCTGCTGGGTTCAATCCACCCACCTCACGGCCAGAGCACCAGCAGGTCTCCTTTCATGAACATGGCACGCTCTCTGGAGCAGTGCCAACTCTGTAACACGTTCAGTTGCTGAGTTGCAAGTGGGTTCTTTATTTTTTGGGGTATGTTGTTGTTGTTACGTGCCGTGGAGTCGTCGGTTCCGACTCATAGCGACCCTGTACAGGGTTTCCAAGGCTGTAAATCTTTATGGGAGCAGAAAGCCTCCTCTTTCTCCCAGGGAGGAGCTGGTAGTTTTGAACTGCTAACCTTGCGGTTCACAGCCCGATTCGTAACCACTATGGGATGGGACACTTTAAATGGGCAGGTGTCATATGTGAATATCGCCATAAAGCTGTTATTGAAAAGAAGCAACCTAGGGCCCAAGGAAGGGTAACAACTGATGGTCACTAGAGTTCGGCCTCTGAGGACGCCAGTGAGGACTTTGACCACCACTGATGTTCAGTTCCTGAGGCTGTTCTCAGTGTACCCTCGGACCCCGACACCTGGGAAGGGGCTTCTGGGGATGGTCCTTCCCGACAGAGGGACGAGGCTCCACGGCCCCAGGATCCTGCAGTTAATGTCCACAATGGGAAGGTTCCAAGACAAGGCCCTCAGACCCTCCCATGCTACTACTGGGGGTCCCGGAATGGGCTTCGCCAGAGCTTCCTTTCTCAGGGCGGTTGACTGGGTTCACACTGCTGAGCCCTAATGCCCCTCAGCCCAGGACAAGAAGGAAACCCACCTGTCCTGCAGCACAGGATCACCTACCTGCCTGTGTTTGCCCACACCACTCAGAGTTGTCTGACCGCCAAGTTGCTTCAGGGAGCCGCCGGCTCTGCAAACCTGGGATCCATATTGTGCCCAGATGTCACGTGGCACAGGCAAGGCTGTTGGCAGGACTGCCTTAAGGCGTGGTCAGGAGAAGCAGACAGCCTTCCAGAATACAAGGAGGCGCTGAAGCTTGGCTGGGCCACCTACTGCACCTCACTTCCTCACCTCGTCCTCACAGGCCCTGTGTGGACCTGGGGGCCTTGCCCCGGCTTCTTCCAGGCTCAGGCCTCCCTGTGAGCATTGCTTCCTCTGGCTTTGGCCATAACCAAAAAAAAAAACCTCTAAGAGCCCAAACCTATTGCTGTTGAGCCAAGGCTGATTCACTGTAAACCCATGTGTATCAGTGCAGAACTGAACTCAAGGGTTTTCTTGGCTCACTGTGGAAACAGATCACCAAGCCTTTCTTCTGCAGCACACAGGTGTGCTCAAACTGCCAACCTTTAGGTGAGCAGTTTGCACCATCCAGGACCTGATGCTGTAACAGCCTAGTGTAAGTACCCATGCTCTGGTCTGGAGGGGCCTATGGAGAAGCTCATGGAAACGCCCTGGAGCCCATAGTAGTGGGCTACCCAGGCCTCCTCACACTGCCATTCACGTTACTCTGCGATGGGATTCCCGGCTGAGAGGGCTCCTGCCTCCCTGCTGCTGCACTGTCAGGGACGGGGCCCAACAGTGAGCCGCAGCACCATCCTCCAAATGCGTCCTTCCCGTCTCCAGGGCTGGCTCCCAGCACAGGTGGGTCACATTCTGGATGGACACACTCTGGGCTGACCTTAAGCCACGTGGGTGCAGGGGGCCTTAGCCATCAGACACGAGTCTGCGCCTAAGCCTGGTGTGTCTGCCCAGGAAAGACCCCAGAGTCCTGCCCCGGTTGTATTGATAATGCTGTGTGAAATCATGGCACCTCGTGTGTTAACAGCTACCCCATTGAGCCTTTCCTGGATGTCGCCTTAATAGAAAGGGGCAGCTGCTACCTGACAGGCTGCATGTTCAAACCCACCCAGTTACTCCTCAGGAGAAAGACCTGCCAACCTACTCCAAAAAGTTTACTCGAGAAACAAACAAACAAAAACACCCAAGACTCTCAGCCACGGAGTGGATTTTGACTCCTAACAACCCCACAGGACGTAGCAAAGCACCCCAACAGGTCTCCGAGGCGACAAATCTTTACGGAGGCGCACAGCCTCACGTTTCTCCTGAAGAGTAACTTCTGGATGAAGACGGCCCACTGCTTAACCCACTATGCCACCAGGGTTCCTTTCCATGACGATGACAGCCCAGGAAAAGCCATGGGACATATCTCTGTCCCATGGGAGGCAGGCAGCCAGGCTTTTCTTGGGCTGGGCCAATAGGTGGAGTTCAACCTTTAAATTAGCAGTCAGCGTGTGTGTGTGTTGTTGTTAAGTGCTGTCGAGTCGGTTCTGACCCATAATATAAGGTTTCTGAGGAGCAGCTGGTGACATCAGTGGTTCAAGCTCACCAGCAACCAGGGTTGCTATGGGTCAGAATCAACTGGACGGCACTTAACAACAACAACAAATATGTGTGTGTGTGTGGTGTGAACAGCTTACACCACCAGGGAGTGACAGGGAAACCAAGAATCGGCACCTGCGTTAAGCTCCCCAAGGAGGAGAGTCACCCATTAAAATATTGACCTAAATGCGCCCCCCCCCCATGGAGTCAATGCGGGCTCCTATTGGGCGGAGTCTGGTGAAGCTGTGGGCTAATACGTCAGACTGCAAAGTCACTTGAACTACAAAGTTAGTGGTTCAAGCTCACCAGCTGCTCCTTGGAAACCCTATAACAGGGTCGCTATGGGTCGGAAACGACCCTATGGCATTTAATAACAACAACAGTCTTATCTTTCTCCCTCGGAGATGTTGGTGGGTTTGAAACCCCAATGCCTAACCCATGGCAGGCCCCACCAGGGCACTTTCAATAAAATGCAGGGCTGCCTCAAACGTGAATCTCAGATCAATGAGTTTTTGTGGGGTTTATTTTTTTTTAAGTATAAGCATATTCCGTGCAATCTTTGGGATTTGTTGTTGTTGTTAAGTGCCATCGAGTAGGTTCCAACCTATAGGGATCCTGTATAGGGTTTCCAAGGAGTGACTGGTGAGCTTGAACTGCCAACCTTGCAGTTCAAACCGACTTTGCAGTCCAGCGCATTAGCCCACAGTGCCACACCAGGACTCCATGAGATGGTGTTGTTAAGGGCCATCGAGTCAGTTCCGACCCATAGCGACCCAGTATAGGGTTTCCGAGGAGCAGCTGGTAAGCTTGAACCACTGACCTTGCAGTTCAAAGGGCTTTGCAGTCTGGCGCATTAACCCACAGTGCCACACTTACACTTAAAAAAAAAAAAAAAAAAAGGTCACCGTTCACCTAAAATTCTAATTTCACGAGGAGTTTTGTATTTTTATTGGGTAAACCACGCGACCCTTCCAGAGCTCCTGTGTTGGCAGTTTGAAACTTCGTATGTTGTTGTTGCTGTATGTCACATTAGGAATGACTACCAAGTATTAGAAGGAGCTCTGATAGCGTAGTGGTAAGGAATCGAGCTGCGAACCACAAGGTCAGCAGTTCGAAACTACCAGCTGTTCCACGGGAGAAAGATGAGGCTTTCTACTCCCGTAAAGATTTGCAGCCTCGGAAACCCTGTACATGGTCGCTATGAGTCGGAACCGACTCCACGCACATAACCACCACCACCACCTTGGACTCCTGGTGTGGCGCTGGTAGGATCAGCACTGGGCTGCTAACCCGTAACTGCTCCTCGGAAACCCTATAAAGGATTGCTATAAGACGGAACACATACACACCAACTGCTCATAGCAATATATATAAGAAAGCAAATCCAGCAGGGCACGACAGACTAGCTGCGTTGACCCGAGGCAAGGAAGCACCCGACGGCGCTTGAGCACGAGGCATCTTCGGCTCCTGACCCAAGGGGCGAGAGCGCACGCGCATAACGCAACGGCCCCAGGGAACGGGGTCCCTCAGACAGACCTACCCTTGGCGCACGCGCACGGGTCAAGCGTCCCCTCAAGCGCCCGTATGCCCGCCCGCCAGCCAGCGGAGCACGTCAGCCAGGCCCGGCCACACCCTCACTCCGCGAGTTTCGGATGCCCCCCCGCAGCCGAGAGCCCAGCTCTCAATTCACAGCGCCCCCAAAGAACCCGAGATCCTGCGGCCGCGCGCTTACCTGAGAGAGACGTCGTGAGCACTGCGCTTCACCAAGTCTTAGCAACAGGACCACTTAACCCCGCCTCTGCCTCCGCCTCCGCCTCCGCTTGCCGACGCGGGGCACGACGGGAGCGTAGTTCAGCCAGCAATGACTGCGCCAGGCTGGGGCGGCGTCCGGACTAACATCCCCAGAAGGCCAAGTGCGCGGCGGATATGCCCCGCCCCTTCGCCGGAACTGGACTCAGGTGACTGCCTGGAACTCCGGAGTAACGGGTGCGAGTTCCGGATAAGTTAGAGCCGGGAGAAGAGCAAAGTGGGCAAAGAAGGGACACGACACCTGCCTTCAGTCTCTGAGCGAGCCCGGGTTGCTGCTGTCACGTGGATCGGGAGTCGTGGTCCAATGAGACTTGGGGAGGGGGGCTCCCTAGTCCACGCCTCAGTTTTCCTGTTTGTACAGTAGGCCCGCGGGAACCCCTTGACTCTTGAGCACCGTTGTGTCAAACAGGACTGAGCAGTGGGATGGAGTGGGCAAGGGGGGACCCCAGAGTACCTTATGAAAATTGGCGATGACACCCAGCTCCCCGAAATGCTAGGAGAGCTGGAGAGGGAGGAAGTGGTCAGCACAAAACACGGCAGGCGTTTGCTTGGTGGGAAGGAATACATTTGTGGTCCCCCAAATGGCCACGGACGTGGACACGGGGAGAGAGTCAGACCAGAGACAGGGGGACCCTGGGAGACTGGGGCTGGGGTCCCTGATCTACAGAAGGTAGGGATGGTGTTCAAGAAAGGATGTCTGCGTGAACACTGAAGAATTCCCTACCCGAGATTGAAGTAACAAGAGTCACTTGAGCCAGAGAGTCTCTTCTTACGGGGGTGGCAAGACAATAGGGGCAAATGTTGTCAAAAGTATTGACCTTAAAAAAGTTCGTGGGAAAATGAAATGAAAAGATAACAACGGAATTGTCCCACGAACTTTTTGAAGCTCCCTCATGTGTATATTTTCACCAAAAATTAGAAAACTAAAAAGT